TGTTGTGCTTAATTGTCATCTTGGTAAGCTTCATTCATGTAACTTACCCTTCACGGTATTGTTCGCGCCTTGGTTTACCGTAATCCATTTTGATCTACCATAAACAGCAGTATACGTTACTTATAATCGAATGCCATGACTATATAGCTTTCTTACGACTTCAAACCGTAAAAGAACTTTGATTTTTAGCAGATACTTAATCGACCATCGCTCATATTCCAACCGTGACGCTGACGAGATCGACTAGCCCGAGATGGATATTCCTCGATCGGTAAGCAAGATTTTTGCTGCAAATTGTTTCATATTACTGTAGCTGCATAATTCTGCATTTTTAAGAGGGAATCACAAGAATATGATCAACGAACGATGCAACGGCCAGCAGATACGTCTTCACGAACATCTCCACTAAGTGTGCAGACAAATCCAGTCATGAGCGCGAATTTTAAAGTTCATATGTGGCAAAATCGCCCATTTGATAGTGGTGTACATACAATGACACATAGTCAGGTAAAATCCGAATTTTTTGACCTACCCACCCCCTAAATTTTCTCCTAATCAAGGCTCCATCAATGATGTCCATGACATCTATCCATGCCGGCTCACAGATCTCTACAATGTCTTCGGTTGTTGACACGGATGTGGCCGAACTCACCGATCAGGTATATGAAACCATGCGCAATTGATTACCGTAACCCTACCGTATCCAGCAACAACAAAAATTCGAAAACATCTCGTTAGCGCTATGTCCAACACATCCAGAATTTGGCAATGCAGAAGGTGTGATACCAGAACTATTGAATCTGATGAAGGATAACGATGAGGTAAATGACGAAAAAATCCTGGAAAATTTTCTGGAAAACCTACTAAAGCATATTTTTTGCAGGTTGTTGTATATAGAGCACTTTTCATAATGCAAAACATTGCAAAATTGGATGCGGACATTTCAAGGACACCAAGCGCGCGAATTCGCGGCAGTGAAGCAGTAATGGCCATTTTGAACGTGCTGCAAGTGCGGAGGAACACACCGGTAGGCCTTAGTTTCGTGGCCACATAGATTGAAGGACAGTGGAGTTGCAAGCAAAGAGACTTGATTGGACTCAGCAAATTAATTAACAAATAAAACATGAAAAAATTTCTTTGGACAAGATAAACTATTATTGACCTTTTTCAGAACATCATCCGAATGGCTTTGGGCACCTTATTTCAAATTTGTATAAGAGCCGATGGCCTTGATGATGTAGCAAATGTGAATGCACAAACTAATGGTGAACTCATTAGAATGCTGATCGAACATGCAAGGTAAACTTACCCCCCC